AACACATTTTTGGCGGTCTAACAAAATTTTATAACCTCCAACACTCAAACTGCTCTTAGTAGAATGGTGCGATAGCGGTGCAGTTGACATTGTCTAGCAACAGTACAGATTAAATTAGATACTGTATATATAAGATTATTAGAGTAGCGATTGAAGAGTTTACACTTAAAATTTCGTTTAGATCCAAAACGGTAATGAGACGATTACAAATAAGAAATCAATCTAAGTTGTTTTTGCTTAATGCCGTTTAAGACCACTCTTATGTTGATTAAAAAAAAGTATAATAAAAATAAAGCTTAATAATTCAAGGCCCGACACTATAATTGGGTCAAGCCCAAAGACCTATCAAACAGCCGACCCATCAAACAACTTAAAATAAGAATCCTTACGTGTACACGTTCAAGGAATTATAATGTTTTGTAATTTAATTTTATGCGACATTTAGTTGTGGTACCCAAGTCCACAATCACGTCACAATGGTCGTGCAGTCAAGTTAGCCATTATATGTTCAACAAAAAAAAGTTGGCCATTATATTTTATTTGCATAAAATCTTAATCATTGGATTTTGGTTTGCATTTATGCATGTTTTACACCAATTTTTCTCCTTATAAAAGGCATTTGGGGTAACCCCTATTCTTCATCCATTCAAGTTTCTCTCATTTTCTTATAGTATAGTTCACATTGCAGAGCTATAGCTATGGCTTTAACTCGTCTCCCCTTAGCTGCATTCTCATTGCTTCTTTTGTCTTTGCTAGTGATTGCGTCTGCTGATGATTATGGCAATTATGATGATTCATCTAAATATGGTTACGATGGAATCCCAGCTGGGAGCCCTCAGTCGAAGCCAGAAGATGAAGAAAAGCCTAATAATTATGGTACTAAGCCAGACACTTACAAGGCAAAGCCAGAAGAGAAGCCTACTGATTATGACACCAAGGAGGACAATTACAACAAGCCAAAGCCCGAAGGAGAAGCAAAGCCTAACTATGGTGCAAAGCCAGACACTTATGAGGCAAAGCCCGAAGTAGAAGTAAAGGCTAACTATGGTGCAAAGCCAGACACTTACAAGCCAAAGCCAGAAGAGAAGCGTACTACCTATGAAACCAAAGAGTACAATTACAAGCTAAAGTCAGAAGAAAAGCCTGGTTATGATACAAATGCAAAGCCAGACACTTACAAGCCAAAGCCTGAAGAGAAGTCTACCACTTATGAAACCAAAGATTACAAGCCAAAACCAGAAGAGAAGTCTGAAGAGAAGCCTACCACTTATGAAACCAAAGATTACAAGCCGAAGCCAGAAGAGAAACCTGAAGAGAAGCCTACCACTTATGAAACCAAAGATTACAAGCCAAAGCCAGAAGAAAAGCCTGAAGAGAAGCCTACCACTTATCATGAAACCAAAGATTACAAGCTAAAGCCAGAAGAGAAGCCTACCACTTATGAATCCAAAGATTACAAGCCAAAGTCAGAAGAAAAGCCTGGTTATGAAACAAAACCAAAAGCAGAAGAGCAAGATTACATGCCAAAGCCACAAGAAGAAGCAAAACCTAACTATGATGCAAAGCCAGACAATTACAAGCCGGAGCCAGTTGAAAAGCCTGCTCATGACAAAAAACCAGAAGGAGATTACAATTACAAGCCAAAGCCAGAAGGTGAATCAAAGCCTTCTTACAGTACAAAGCCAGCAGAAAAGCCTGTTTATGATAACAAATCAGGAGATGAATACAATTACAAGCCCAAGCCAGAAGAGAATGACAAGCTTCTCTCTATTAGTGTTGGAGGGACTGTTTTATGCAAATCAGGTTCCAACTATAAACCAATTCAAGGTAATGTTCTTTAGACATTAAGACTTCTTTTCTTGGTATATAAAGCAGCATTATGTCCTTTTATTTAGTTCCATTCATAGTTCTACTTATAAATTAATTTCATGATTTGCAATGATTGCAGGGGCTTTGGTAAAGGTAACATGTCAAGTTGTTGATGTGATCGGCCTAGAGAAAATTCTCCCTGTTTGCAGCATACCAACTGATTCAAATGGTTACTTCTTTGAAACATTGTCCTCTTTAACTCATTTGCTAGGTACCACTTTGAAGCTTAAAGGGTGTAAAGCATTCCTTCAAGGCTCCCCACTGGAAACGTGCAATGTTCCAACTGATGTCAACAATGGAATTTCTGGTGCTCATATTCTCAATGAGAAGCAAACCATGTTGTACAATGTGGGGCCTTTCTTCTACACTCCAGCACCTCAATCTGTTCCTGCTAACACCAATGGTTATTAGATTTTGAGTTTTATTCTTCTGGACTAAACAGCAATCTGTTTCTTCTTCCTCTGTTTTGGTGTTGATCAGGGGAATTGGAATTTGATCCTTTATTGCTTTTTGTTTTTTCTTTTGTTTATGTTGACTAATGATTCTTGTTGTTTATTTGATGATTTTATTGGCAAAGCTGGAATTGCAGACTCTGCCTTGTGATATGTTATAAGCTATAATATTAATGACAATGTTTAAATTTGTTTAATTTCTACTACTTTTATCATGGATATATCTATGTACTCTAAAGATAGATATTCAAAATATGAGTTCTCATTCGCCATACACCCACAAGAAAAGAAATTCAATCTCAGGATTTAGAATCCAATAAGTAAAAGTTCTTCAAAACTAAAGTAAAAAGAGTGAAATTTGTGAATCAAGATATAAAAAAACACAATATCTATCTCTCATTCAAGATTTACAAATCAAAAATCTAGATTGAAGAATAATTTGTATATCAATTGATTGTGCTTGCAAAATTACAAAACTAACGTAAAGAGTTTATGATTAAACTGAACTGAAAAGAATCATAGTACAAGTTAACTTCTCTGTGTCATAGAACTAAAATCCATCCCAATTCTATCAAGACAAGAAGTACCCTTTTGCTGCAAATTCAGTTAAACTGTTCATCAGGAGTTTTGTTTAGATCAAACAAAGCCAAACACTTATCACCCTTCATCTTTGTCAAAACCTCTCCAGCTTCCTTAATTTTCAAACTCTCATCAGCGGCTTGATATTCTTTGATAGACAAAAATTGCTCAATCACAGAATCAATATTGTCAGAAGTATAAACCCTTCCTTGCTCTGAAATTATAACAACACCAATGGTTTCCCCAGTCAGCATTGATAATTGAGCAGCTTTCTTGAATATACCCTTCTTTCGTTTAGAAAAAGCCACCCAACGTTTCCTTTGATTATCTATCTTCTTGATTTCAATCTTTCTACGGCCACAGCCTTTTCTTCTTTGAGGTATACTGTTACTCGTGCTTGCTTCACCTTCATCCATGGCCTATAGGCTATAACCCAATTACTAAAAACGATGAAAAGCTAGACAATCAAAAGATAGGAAACAATAGAAAAACAGAGATTTCCTGTTTGGGTTTTTTTTTATCCCATCAATCAAGAAAAAGAAACCAGAGTTTTTAGGAAAACAACCCTCTTATCAATCACGAAAAAGGAAGTAGGGTTTTTATATCCAATAAGGTTTACAAAATAGGTGATAAGCAGAGTATAAAAGTGTAAATATATAGTTATTATGCAAATAAGGTTAATTGTCTTTGCTTTTTCCCTGTTACAGTAGGATTCGACTTACTTGGAAACTAAGATTTTTTTATATAGGAAATAAAGTTTAATTCACTTTTTGTTTCTAATTAATCCTTTTTTTTTTCAGATAATTATATGTCAATTAAGAAAATACAAGAAAAAAAAAAGGAAGTAAGGAAAGCTGATCAGAACTCTATTGCCAATTACCTATTAATTCTCCTGTTTTATCGTTTTCTAGCTGGACAAAGCTATATTTTAGTAAGCTTCTCCCACTCCTACAAGGAAAAGGATAAAAGTTGATTAATATAAAAATATAACAACTCTGTTTTGGTTTCAAAAGGAAACATATATATAACGACTTTGGGGCTTATTAACTATTTAATTTGGTCTCTAATGGCTACGGTGAATTTTCAGGAAAAACTGAGTGAAGTAGGGACTTCGAAACGCAGAATGAATTTGTACAAGAAAGCTAATGAACTTTCAACCTTGTGTGGAGCACGTGTCGCCATTGTTACAATCTCAGAGAAGGGGGAACTAACTATGTACCCGAATTCTGAAACTGTAATCCAACGTTATCTTACTTGGAAAAAACGCACTGGGAAATCTAATTCTGCTGGTTCTAGCAAAGGGTTAAAGAAATTGCGAGTAAAGAAGCTTCAGAAAGGAGAAAAGAAGCAACCTGTCGTGGAGGCGGCTGCGGCTGAGCTGACACAAACCAGGGACCAAGTTTTGAATGTAGCGGCGGAGGAAGGTGGTACGATGGCGGTTATGGATCTAAATCAAGACCTGAATTCGAAATTTGATTGAACTATTATTTTTCCAGAGTCCAGACTTAGGTTAGGGAAGATTTTGCTGTAGTGTATTTACAATTAGGAGACAGTTTTTAGTACCTTTGAGTAAAATCAAAATCATATGAATATTATATAGATTTGTATTCTGTTTCAGTGATATTTCTGATAAGTATTTTTCTGGCATATATTATCCAATAGCTAGCTTTTGGTTTTCTTGTTCTCCAAGGATTTCTGTGTTTCTGCAACTACAATATAAAGCAGATAATATTTTGAAACGAACTAAAGCAGGGAAAAGAGTTAAAGAATTTCACTCTATTGAATTAAAGAAACTGAAGGAGGGAAGACTAAAAGTTGGTAATGTTTAAACACCATATCTGTTACTTGTTAAAATCTTGTCATGAATTTTTAGTCACTTGAAGCTGTTATCTTGTCATCATCATGTATCTAAAACTCCATCTGATTTGGAGGACTCAACATCAAAAGAGCAAATGAGCAATGCAGTTAATTATTATTATTATAATACTAAAAGAAAAGAAGAAAGGAGATTACCATATAAAGTGATAAAATGCTTCTTTTTTTTTTGGTTGAAAAGGAGGGCATAAAGCCCTGAGCAAGTAGCAAAATTACAAGAAGAACTTAAGTAACCATCCTGGGGAAAGCCACGCCCACAGCATCTGCAATCAATAAGTTGAGCACCCCAGCTGGTGGGGTATTATAAATCATGATTCCTTCATGTCTGTCGCTGCTGTTCTTAGCCATCCAATCCGCCACGAAATTCTTTTCCCTCGGGATGTAATGCAATTGGCAAGTCCACTCCTTAGAAAGGTAATCCTGGATAGCAGCAATGATGCAAAAATGAGGGTGGTTTTTATTCACACCCTTTTTAATCATGTCAACTGAAGTAGCAGAGTCACTTTCCACAACAATATCATTAAACCCTCTGCTCCAGGCGAGTGAAAGACCTTGTAGTATGCCCCAAAGTTCTGCCAAGTCAATGGAGCATTCACCCACAGATTGAGAGAATCCCAGAAGCCACTCCCCGCAAGAACCTCTAACCACACCACCAACTGCAGCTTCATTAGTTCTTTGAAACCAGCTTCCATCAGTGTTGATCTTGACTTGTCCCTCTTTCGGTTTTTCCCATCCAATGAGAACTTCCCTCCTCATGTGTTGGCCCATTTTGCGGTTGGAAAAATCTATTGCCTCCTTGAGTATCTTCCCAATAATAGCTAGTTTGGTGGAGACAGTATAGCTCTTATTGGCAAAACACCCTTCATTCCTCCATTTCCAAATTCTCCACGCTGTGACAGCAAATATCAAACTCCAAGGCCAATCACCAATCAACCTGTTTTTTTGATCAATTAAGTTGGCATTCCACCACTGTGCCTCACTACATCGGAAAAAATTAGTGTCAGATGCTCCCACCCAATGATTCCAAACCTCTTTTGCATGAGGGCAGTCCCTCAATACATGTAAAGTGTTTTCATTTGCAGCCCCACATTGTTTACAGCTTGGATCTTCAGTGAGATTCCTTACAACTCTGTTACGATTATGCATAATTCTATTTTCCCATGCAAGCCATAAAAAGTTTGCATTTGGGGTTGGCAAGGGATCTTCCAAATTGCTTTGGCTATTGGGGATTCAATATCGTCACATGCTGCTTGGATCTGATAAGCACTTTTTGTCGAAAACTCTCCGGTTGGAGAACTTCCCCAAATCATTTTATCCTGCAAATGATGGCTGATTTGAATTGGGATAGCTTGAATTTTCCTAACAATGTCTGCAGGGAGGAGGTCAAGCAGTTCTTCAGTTTTCCACCCATACTCATCACAAAACTGGCTGACTTTAGCTTGGCGAAGTCTATCATCAACTTGCCCAACGACAGTATCAATAAGTTTATTGTCCGAGACCCATTTGTCATGTAGAAAATTAATCAGATTACTATTACCCACTCTCCATTTGAGCCCCTTTAACAATGTTCCTACCAGCCAAAATGCTACGCCATCCGAAGGAGCCTCCATTTTTGTTTTCAACTTTCAAAAATTCCTTCTTCCTGAGGTATTTGCTGGTCATCACTCTAGCCCATAGTTTATCATTTTCTTCCATGAGTCGCCATCCCATCTTTGCTAGTAAAGCCAGGTTGACATCTCTTGAAGCTCGGAATCCCAACCCTGCTTGGTTTTTTGGCATGCACACTTGCTCCCAATTAACTAAGTGGATCTTTCTTTTCTCTGCAGAACTACCCCAAAGAAATCCCCTACTTCTTTTAGCAATCTCATCGCATACAGAGAGAGGAAGTCTCGCTGTTTGCATAGTATAAATTGGGACTGGTGAGGCTGCGGATTTGATCAGAACTGTTCTACCTGCTAGAGACAAGTGGTTAATTTTCCAGCTCGCAAATTTCTCTTGCACTCTCTCCACAATATGCCAATAAGTTTTCTTAGATACCCTGCCATGAATGAATGGGACACCTAGATATTTCCCCAAGTCAGAGGTGAGGGGAATGCCTGTTTGGTTGCTCAGGTTCTTGGCATCCATTTTTCTTGTGTTCTTGGATGCACATAGCTTGGATTTGGCAAGGCTTACAGATTGCCCTGTCCAAAGATTGAATTCCTTTAAAGCCACCATGACAATTTTGGTTTGGCAGGGGGTAGCAGCTGAAAAAAGAACAAGGTCATCAGCGAAAAATAAGTGAGAAATAGGTGGGGCATTCTTACTAATTTTCACTGGTTTCCATTGTTTCATGGCGATCTTATGCTGTATAATATGAGATAGCCTTTCCATACCCAAAACAAACAAATATGGGGAAAGGGGATCTCCCTGTCGTAGTCCCCTTTTGGCTTGAATTCCTCGGTAGCTTCGCCATTCCACAATATCTGAAATGAAGTCGTTTGGATGCAATTCATGACAAGTTTTAGAAGGGTGCTGTTGAAGCCAATTTCCATTAAAGTTTCTCTCACAAACTCCCAGTTCATTTTGTCGTATGTTTTCTCCAAATCAATCTTCCAGGCCAAAGCTCCCGTCTTCCCCTTCCTTTTTTTGAAGGAATGTAACATTTCTTGCACCACAACAATATTGTCCACTATTTGCCTTCCTGGCACAAAACTACTTTGCATGGGGGACACTAGCTTGGGCAGAATCTGTTTCAATCTATTCACAATAATCTTGGTGATAAGATTGTATAAAATATTGCACAAGCTTATCGGCCTCAGCTGATTCATGCTCTCTGGGCTCTTCACTTTGGGGATAAGGGTAATTAAAGTCTTATTCATCTCCAAAGGGACCTCGCCAGAACTGAAGGCTTCCTTCACACTCTTGGTAACTGCTTCGCCCACAGTGTCCCAATTCTTTTGAAAAAAGCGAGCTTGAAACCCGTCTGGCCCTGGGGCTTTGTGAGGCCCTATACTGAACATAGCTTCTTTCACTTCATCATCGTCCACTGGCTTGTGAAGTTCTTCAATTTCATTCACTTCAAGCCTGGGAAAGGTAACTGAGATGTCAGGCCTCAAGCTTCCCTCTAATGATTCAGTATACAAGGTCTTGTAGTGCTGCACTGCCATTCTTTTGATCACTGCTTGGTCATTCACCCAATTACCTTCTGAATCTTTCAAGGATCTAATTCTATTTCGGCTTCTTTTGACAAGAGCAAGTGTGTGAAAATATGTTGTGTTGCGATCCCCAGACTGAATCCACTTAGTTCTTGCTTTTTGGAACCATAGCAATTCTTCTTGTCTCAAAACTTTGCTGTACTCATGTTGTAATTCCTTCTCAAGTGCCACTAGGAAAGGGTTCTCACCATTACAGCGAGCCTTTTGGATCCCTCTTAGTCTTGCCAGCAATCTCTTCTTCTTTTGAAAGATATTTCCAAAGCTGCTTTTATTCCATTTCTTCACCACTTCAGCGAATTTCGTAAGCTTGCTTTGTATGGGAGCATCATGATTTTCCCAACTCTGTTTGAGAATGGTTTTGAAGTCAGGATCAGTCATCCAAGCATTTTCAAACCGAAAGGGTTTGAGACTACTAGAAGGGGGGGTAAATCCTTCCGTATCAAGTAGGATGGGACAACGATCTGATTTGATTCTTGGTAAATTAAAAACCACCGCATCGGAAACATATTCCGTTAGGGAACATTGCAATAAAACTTATCAAGTCTTTCTTTAACTGATAGCAGACTATTCGGGGACTTGTGCCAGGTGAATTTGGGACCAATGAAACCCAAATCAATGAGATTACATGCCTGGAGAGCCTCTTGCATCCTCCTACACCTGTGGCAATCTGAATCTTTGAAGTTAGACTTCTCACTCGCTGTTGCTATTTCGTTGAAATCACCACCTACTACCCACGGATCATTGCTGCTTTCCCCCAGTTCCTTTAAGGTATCCCACAACTGTTCCCTATTCGAAGGAGTAGGACTACCATAAACCGTGGTGAGACGCAAATTTCCTTCCTTCCTTCTGATATTAACTGTTATAGACTGAAAATTAGAATGCTCCACTGTCACATCAACTTCCTCTTCATTCCAGAGAAGCCATATTCCGTCAGCAAAACCCAACCCATCTACTCTAGTAGAATTCTGGTAGCCAACCCTTCGGATTATATCATCAGCTCTCTCGTTACTTACTCTCGTTTCCATGATACCCACAAGAGAAGGTCGATGAGAACGAATTAATTCTCTAATATTCCTAAGAAAATCATTATTACCCGCACCGCGAACATTCCATAATAGGATCTTCATTGGAAATTGACTATTGTAAAGTGGGTTATCAATGGAGTCAGCAGACTCCGTCCATACCTTGGAATCCACTCTCCTTAACCATCGAAGCGGGAGAGAAATCGAGGTCTCCACAAGAATCGGTGGGGCGTTGGGATTCGGTTCCATCCTCATCACAATCTCGTCTACAATCGCTGGGGGAAGGATCAGTTCAGGGTTCTCCCGGATCGGACCAATCCATGTTAGCCACGGTGGATGTATCAACTTGGATCTGGTCACTGTCGGCAGGTTCATTGGTATTCACCTTTGGCGGGTTGCTTTCTAGAGTTGGTGGAGAAGGAATTGATGAGGGGTTGACGGTTGAGGAAGAGGGTGAGAGTGTTGAGGAAGGATAGGGGATGTTAGAGAAAGCTGGGGGAACAGGGACTTTACTCAAATCCAAGTTGGTTGGGGTGGGAACAACTGACCTAGATTTCACTCTGGTTGTCTTCTTGTAGATGGTAGGGTTCGCTTGTTGGTTTCCAATTGAAAACTTGTTGTTGTCGGGCGTTATGTTGTTCACGCTAGGTTCTGAAATTTTAACCCCAGTTTGTCTCATGGGTTTCTCTTGGTTGGGTTTTCCATTGGTGATGTCTGAGAGGGCTTTGGATTTACCTTTGGTGGGCTTAGGCTTCACTATGGATGCACTGCTTTTGGACTTTAATTCATTTCTCATTTGGGCCTGATGGGTTTCTAGGGCATCATTGTCAACAGGAGTCTTCCCTGAGTTTCCTGCATCTTCTTCCCCTATTGTCTCCAATGGCGCAAATCTGGACCCTTCACCAGTAGTACCAGTTCTGCTCGACGAAACGACACCCTTGTTTGGAGGTTTCTTGTTTCTTTTTTGGACTAGCATCCATGGCCCAAATTGGGGTTTTTGGTGGGGATCTTCTTGATTGTGTCCTTGATTTTCCACTACAGCAACATCAGATTCATGTGGTGTTGTTGTCTCATTATTAGCTTTAAAGATTCTCTGATGGCACTCACTAGTTTTATGGCCATAAATGCCGCAATCAAAGCAGATCTCATCAAGACCTTCATATTCCACTTTCTGCCAAAAGGGACCAACCATAATTCCACCTATTAACGGTTTTCCTAATTCCACCTCAACACAGACCCTAGCATATTTTCCTCTAGATGAACTGTCAGTGGGTTTGTCAACTTTAATTGTTCTTCCTAGAAGATTACCGGCTTCAGTGAGTTTTGCCCTGTTAAAAAATTCAATGGGAAGTCCAGGAAATCTTACCCACACAGTTGTTGATGTGATAGATGCCTGACATGGGCGAAACAAGGGTTTCCATTTTCTCATGGTGAGGTAGTGCCCAACGACTATCCATGGCCCCCCTGACACAATGGTGTTGTAGTCATCTGGGTTTCGAACTCTGACTAAAAAATAGTCATTATCTAGATCCATCAAAGAAAAATCTTGTTGCAAGTTCCAGATTTGCCTCAGTCTGTTAAGAAGAAAATTGTAGCCCACAGACTTACCAAGGACTTTCACTATCAAGGTTTGTTTCCATGGTTGGCATAGGCTCTCATGCTCCTCCTTTGAGACTTTCAGCTGGGGCCATTTCGACCTCTCTTTTTCGCTGTCCCAGCAGTCCCAAATGTTTCCTCCCATATCTGTGTCTTCCGTATCGTCCTCTAGGACCTCTTCCCAGGTGAGTTTGAGTAGATAATTTTGTTTCAAAATGGCATCTTTGAAACTGATGGTGTTTTCGCCTCTAGGCTTCCCAAATTGTTGTTGTGTTCCTAGCCCATTAGTGGATGTAGATTCATCGCCCCTTGTTCTCTTGGCAGCCGGGGATCGAACCAGCAGTGAATTTGGTGGGTCTGGTAGTGGGTGCAGGCCCTCCATGGAGGGTTGATTGCGGAAAGCTAAACGTACGCGGGTGAGGTCTTATCGTGCGCCTGGAGAGAAAATTGTTTTAATTCAGGAAGAAGCATTTGATAAAATGCTTCTTTAATCTAATTTTAGGGTGATAACTTGATAATGGGTATATTATTCTTGGACTAAATGAAAATACTAAAAGGAAATAAGAAACCAAATAAAGTCGGGAAAGAAAACACAGCAAACTAGCAATGGGAAGAAAGCTACCCTTTGTTCCATAAGGTATGCCCCTCGTGAAGATAAAGCAGAAGGCAATTACTTCAGGCTTATAAATCAGTTGTGTTCTGCTTTCTAAATGACAAAATTAATACTAACTAAAACAAATCAGAAAGCTTCCTAATTTTCTACCAGTACTTGAACCTAGAATGAGTGCAAAACTCCTGCAAACAGATCATTTACACTAAAAAAGAAAACAACTTTGACCAGCAATCCATTCATCTTATGCCAAGATACAATCAAGCAATCCATTTATCTTAATGGCAAGAAAAGCAAACATTTAGGTAAAGTGCACTGCAAACTAGGAGAAACCACCAAGAGCCTCGACACATCCAATTGAAACCTGTGAAGAAGAGAAAACCAGCAGCAGCTCAAGAATCTGCTGCACCAATTGCTAACCTTATCTAATCAGTAAAAACAGTCAACAAAGTATAAATAAAGCAGAGAGGTAATGTGAAGATCAAAAATATAACTCTAAACACAACACTGTCGTTCAGAATTCAGAATACATAATCATCAAAACATTAAAAATGTAACAGCTGCAGATAGCAATTCTAGAGTCATAGTAAAAAGCATCCATCTGAAGAAGACATACATCATCATAAGTTGGGTGCTGTCACCCAAGAAGCAACTACTAACAAAATATAAAAGAGACAGAAACAAAACTAAACTGCAGCACAAATATGCTGCACCACCATAAAAACTCTTCCATTTATCCTGTAGCTTACAGCTTGTCCTCGTACTCTGAAAGTGGGGTCATCTGCTCCTTCAGACCCTTTCTCTTACGGATTTCAGCTACAAGGTTTGCTGCCTGGTTTCCAACTTCCAGGGGATCTTGAGTCATCATATCCCAATGATCAAACACACATTGTGGGAATGCCTGCCCTGATGTTGCAGCCCTCAACTGGCCAGAGAATCCAAAGGACTCGATAACAGGAAGATATGCCTTAATGTTGTAAAGTGGGGTACCAGGCCTCTGCATCTCCTCAAAAACGTGTCCACGCTTTTGGTTAAGCACACTGTAAATTCCACCAAGGGCTTGCTCAGGGGCTTGGATCTCAACCAGGTACACAGGCTCAAGAAGCCTTGGCTTGGCTGTGAGCTGGGAGGCATAGAAGACCCTCCTAGCAGTTGGAATGATCTGGCCACCACCTCTGTGAATGGCATCAGCATGCAGAACCACATCACAAACTTCAAAGCAGATACCCCTCATGTTCTCTTCACACATCGCACCTTCCTTTGATGCCCACTGGAACCCAGCAACAACAGAATCCTTGATTTCATTAAGGTACTGAACTCCCTTACACATATCGACAACCATGTTAGGACCAGTTGTCTCAGGGCCAAAACACCAGATTTTTTTGGCAAGATCTTTATCCCAGCCAAACTCTTCAGCCAAGATCTTGGAACGAACCTTGGGATCATCCCTTGGACCAATACGTCCATCATCAATGGCCTCGGCGAGACCTTCCTCCAAGGGCCTAGCTTCCATGTACAGACGGTTGTGCTTGTTAGGAGACTTGCTCATCACAGTCCTGCAGGACCTCTCAAGGACTGTCTCACGGAAAGACACAATAGGATCAGATTTAACGATCTCAGCACCGCCCATAAAATCTTCTTGTAAATCCTTGAGACAGATTTCAAGGTGAAGTTCTCCGGCACCTGCAACAATGTGCTCTCCAGATTCTTCAATGGTGCATACCACCATAGGATCAGACTTGGCCAAACGCTTCAGCCCTTCAACAAGTTTAGGAAGATCAGATGCCACCTTGCACTGAACAGCTACACGGACAACAGGAGAGACAGAGAACTTCATGGCACGAATTGGGTGAGCATCAACTTCCTTCTCATTAGTCAAAGTGGCATTCTTGGTGATAAACTGATCCAAACCAACCATGGCAACAGTGTTACCACATGGAACATCCTCCACAGTTTCCTGCTTCTTTCCCATCCAAATAACAGTTCTCTGAACACTCTTAACATACAAGTCTTTCTTCTCACCAGGAACATAGTTTGGACCCATGATTCTGACCTTCAAACCAGTTGCGACTTTCCCAGAGAAGACACGACCAAAAGGCAAAGAATCTACCCTTATCAGAAGCTGGAATCATCTTTGAAACGTAGAGCAATAAGAGGACCCTCAGGAT